GCAACTTGTCTGTTCCCCTTCCCCAACTCCCCAGCGCTGTTCCCATCCCCCCAATTCCCCAATAAAAAATAAAAATTAAAAAATCTTTTTAAAAAATACTAGCAAACCAATTCAACAATACATTTAAAGGATCATACACCATGATCAAGTGCATTTATTCCAGTGATGCAAAGGTAGTTGGACATCTGCAAATCAAAGTGATATATTAGATTTTAAAAATGAAGGATTAAAAAAAAATCACATGATCATCTCAATAGATGCAGAAAAAAAACTGACGATATTCAACATACATTTATGACAAAAACTCTCAACAAAGTAGGTAGAGAGAACATGCTTCAACATAACAAAGGCCATATATGATAAACCCACAGCTAACATCATACTCAACAGTGAAAAGCTTAAAACTTCTCTTCTAAGATCAGGAATAAGACAAGGATGCCCACTATTACCACTTTTAGTCAATATAGTACTGGAAGTCCTAGGTACAGCAATTGGGAAACACAAAGAAATAGAAGGCATCCAAATCAGAAAGGAAGGAGTAAAATTGTCACTATTTGCAGATAACATAATAATATATAGAAAACAATAAGGACTCCACCAAAAAAAAAAAAACCATTAAAACTAATAAACAAATTCAGTAAACTTGCAAGATACAAAATCAATGTACAGAAATCTGTGGCATTTCTATACATTAATAATAAACTATCAGAAAGAAAAATTAAGAAAATAATCCCATTTACAACTGCATCAAAAAGCATAAAATAGGAATAAATTTAACCAAGGAGGTGAAAGACCTGTACAATGAAAACTGCCAGACACTGGTAAAATAAATTGAAGATATAAATAAATGGTAAGACATTCCATGCTCATGGATTGGAATAATTAATATTGTTAAAATGTCCACACTACCCAAAGCAATCTACAGATTCAATGCAATCCTTACCAAAATTCCAATAGCATTTTTTCACAGAACTAGGACAAATAATTCTAAAATTTGTATGGAACCACAAAAAATTCCAAAAAGTAAAAGCAATCTTGAGAAAGAACAAAGCTGGAGGTATCACACTTCCTGATTTCAAACTATACTACAAAGCTACAGTAATCAAAACGATATGGGATTGGCATAAAAACAGACATACAGATCAATTAAACAGAATTCTGAGCCCCAAAATAAACCCACACATATATGGACAATTAATTTATGACAAAGGAGCCAAGAACATACAATGGAGAAAGCACAGTCTCTTCAATCAATGGTGTGGGGAAAACTGGATAGCCACATGCAAAAGAATGAAACAAGACAACGATTTACAGCATACCCAAAAATTAACTCAAAATGAGTTAAAGAATTGAATGTACAACCAGAAACCATAAAATTCCTAGAACACATAGATGGTAAGATCCTTGACATCTCAGTCTTAGAAATGTTTTCAATGATCAGACTCCACATGCAAGGATATTGTTTGCTTTTAATGCTTACTGCTCAATTTTTTACTTCCTGCTATAATGCAATTGCTTCGGAAAACAGAGATAGGGGATCACCAATAAAACTAAGAATTGCCTAGTCAATTTCCCACTAAGTCAAGTTCATTTTCTACTGAACCCAAGACATATACATTTTAATGACTTCTCTTACCTTCCTTCATCTCTTCAGAACTATATGCTCCTTGGACGGTGCTCTCTCTCAACCAAATAGGTCTCTCTTTGGCAGATTTCCCCTCCAGTGAGGCTCGATGAAGATCTTCTTGATCGTCCATATTAATGACAACATTCTGAGTATATAAGTCCTCATAGGAGGGACCTTTGCTGGCCCATGCTTCCCGGTGGTGCCCACCTGCCAGCCCAGCAGTTCCAGCAGTAGTTGCTGCACGGTCCTTGCTATATAAAAAGACAGAGGAGGACAGGAAGAAGAAAAATTAAAGTCTTGATTGGAAAAGGAGGGCAGCAGGGGAGGTGATTACTGAAGTATTACAAGTAAATGCTATCCAGCAATCATGTGCAGATGCTTTAACAATTCTGAGAAGCATCTCTTATACCTCAGGATGAAAGTTACATGGGTTAGAAGAACACATTATATTTAAATTCCTCAATCACTGGATCATCTGGTGTACATAAATGACTGCGGTTTTATAGTTTAAGACATTTCAATAAATCTACTTAGGGAGAGGGGAGACTGGTATGGTGACAATCTACTTAAAGACACCAGTCTGGCAAAATTCTCTCCCAGTCACATCTTTCATGAGTCTTTTGTTTAAAAACAAAACAAAAAACAAAACACACATTAAACATTTTGCAAAACTGTTTTACAAAATTCAGCTCAACCCAGACTAATTCAAAGTAGTTCTGTGTGCTTTATTTCTTTCTTTTGTGTGCTGAGAAGTGAGGAAATATGCTGCAAAGCCAGACCTCAACTTAGAATTAATATTCTTCTGCTACTCACCAAATAAGGCACTTCTCTCTACACAGGTCAGTCTCTTTTCTACTGAGTTGTATCTTTCCATCTCTGCACCTCTGTTGACTCTGTATCCATCCTTCAACCATTATTTCTACCCTGTAGTCACCATAATCTAATTCTCAGTTGATTTTGTTTTGCTTTTTACCTTTATTACCCATGATCTCGGCCTGTTCCGGGCCTGATCATTCCTTACCTTCCTTTCGCAACTTATTTTCATCTCTCTGAGTTCAAGTTTTCTGTCTTTCTGTGCTCCCTGTTTTATCTGCTTGTTTCACTTTCAATGCGTTCCACATCGTTTTGACTGTACCTGATTCTCTGTGTGTCTAAGCTCACACCTTGTCTTTCTCTGCCGCTACTGATGCTGTCTCTGCATCAACTTCTATGCAAGATTCTCCCTCCCTCTCTGTTGAGACAGCTAATGTTTCATCCCATATACTATCTTCATGTTTCACGAGCTACCTGCTCTGTACCTTTTCCTGTGTTCCTTTCAGTGTGCACTGACTGACTCTTCTGGCCCCATGTTTCCCCTTTACGTCTCCTCCATTTTTCTCCAAATCTCGTCCATGGATCCTGGACTGCTGTCTTCAGTGGAGCCCTGTCTCATTTTGAGCTTAACCAGTACTACTTCATTTGTGTTTCTGTCCTGTACCACTTCTGCTCTCATGAGCCATTCACTATTTTTCCTTTTCTTTGGTCTGACTTCATTTCTGCTTACTCCATTGCTCATTTCTTCCCAGGCCCACTTATACGTACTTAAGCTTTCTGCCTCATGCTAGTTGGTTTCTCTGGCATATACCTCAGTTCATTACCTGACTGGCCCACTACACTTCTCCCTGGGAACACTGTTTCTGACAGCTCTCTGGAGGTAATCTTGGGTTTATCCCACCCCTCCTGTTCCCCTCTGGATATCTACAGGCCAACTGCCGCTTTTGCTATACAAAAATGCACTCTCCAGTTGTCCAGTCCATGCTGACCCGGTCATTTAATCCACACTCGCCAGCTACTGCCTCTAGCTGTACCCAGGGCTGCCTGTAAACCATTCTTTCCCCATGGCCTTTGGACCAGTTATGTGCTCTCCCATTCTGAGTCTAGGCTTTCTGGGTGCCTCTCGGTACCAATCCATATTTGTCTTGCTATACTTTAAAGTCTTATGTTGCTGTTGCAAATAACTGGTTTCTCTCTACCTTTTCTTCCTGCATTCCTCTAATGGTACTCTGTGCACTATTTACTAAGTTTGTCTCCATTTAATCCTTATCTATCCCTAGTCATTTCTTTCTATCTTCTACCTGTTCCGTGATGTCTTCTAAAAGGCTGGGTCACTGACTTCACTATTACCTGACTCTGCTTACTCTAGTGTAAATTGCTTTTTTAATTTTGGTCTTCTCCAAGCATTCACTTTTCTTTCTCTT